CAAAAAAACGGAAAAACGAAAACGAAAAAGTTAACTTAACTACTACTACTACTACTACCTACGTACCACTTACGTCCACCAACCCAACACACTCTCCCCTCCTCTCTCTCTCTCTTCTCTCTGCCACCAACCCAACGACACTCTCTCTCTCTCTCTCTCTCTCTCTCTCTCTCTCTCTCTCTCAATTTTATTCTTAACAAAGCATGCTCTTACTCTCAACTTTACTCTTAACAAACAGCAGGCTCTCTCTCTCTCTCTCTTGGGTATGAAAGGTGGCTAAGACCTGGTTACATGGATAATCTTGTCAAGATCAACAAAGGACATCCTTGAGAAGCTTGTATCGACGATTGTTGGACCTTGTAGAAGACATTGCCCCCCCATTCTTCTTCTTATCATGTGCATACTCATCCTCTTGCTTCACCTCATGGCCAGAAACAGATATTCTGGCTTCTTTCCTGGCCATTTTCCGGCAATGCAACTTGTAATCTCTGCCTCTCTCTTCACTTAGGCACCAGTCGCAAACTCCTGATGCCTCTGGTTCACCATAATAGTTACTACAATACCTAAAGATCATATATTCATCAAAATTTATATTATCACAGGAAAGATAGCTTGAGAGAGAGAGAGAGAGATGACATGAATTTATTGTCAAAATGGCAAATGGAATACAAATGACAGAATTTTTCTCCAAAATCCTGATAAATACAGAAAATGCAAGGAAAAAGTTATGTAGGTGGTAGTGAGAAGGGTTTCACAGATAATGGTGACCATGAAGACGATGATAAGTTCAAGTTAACATGAAAACAGTTTCATGGGTTGGATGGTGTGAATATGATGATGATAGTTTTAGAGGTGGTGTTAGTCGCACTAGCAATGATCATGAGGCCTATGGATACGGTGATGATGATGGCACTACGATCGGGATCGTTAACCAACCCTGCAATTACAAACCAAGCATTTGGTAATAGTTGTGTCATAGTGGTGTGGTCATGATGATACAATTATGGTCATGAAGAGTGCCAGAAATGACGGTGGTAGTGCTGGTGATCAAGACAAAGGTAGATGAGATAATAACCGCAGTGATGGTGAAGATGGTGAAGATGGTGACGATGATGATTAATATGAAAATGAACTTACGAATGCTGATATCGAGCAAGACACCTGGTGCAGAGGAAGAGTTGGTCATGGAAACCAACATCACCGCACATACAACATATGGTAGAGGGATGATGCTGATCCATCAAGAGCATGCCTCCATATGCAAACATAGGCTCCCTCCAACCCAATGACCAAAAAACATTGGGTCCTCTGAATTTTTGTAGGAGTTGAGAATTCAGTCATTTTCCCAATTAGGAGTGGAGCAAGATGGGGCCCTCAAAAATATAGTGAAATGACCAAAATGACCCTCATAAACATGCATGTATCTTGGTTGCTTCTGGAGAAAACTGCTGTTTCAATAGATTAGCTCCAAGCAGTTCAAGAAAATAAGAAACATGAAAGCGCATCATGGCTGATTTCTGTATGCATACATGCATAATGAGGTGTTTCTGATAATAAATTATTTCAGGGCATAATGGAAGGTTCTCAAAGATGGAGGGGCACGATTGTAATTTCTGCTGGGAGGAATAAAGTCTTAGCAAAAAAGGGTTCTAGCTGGTATGCAAACTACCATGTACCAACCATCTGTGGAGGCCCATGAAGGTACTTCTATTTAAAACCAGGATTATATCACAAATATCCAAAATACCCTACAAATTTGACAATTCCTTGATATGCCCTTTGTAGCTAGTTGCAGCTGACACAAGTCAAGAAAGAGAATCAGGCCATCCTAGGCTGTTTGGCCACAATGTAAAAAGAATTTAGCAGTCATCTTGCAAAAGTTGAACCACCAACATTATCGTCATCTTAATTTCATTGAGGGTATCTGTGCTCCCATGGCTCCTGAGATTAAAATCACTTCTTTAAGATTTCTTCAGACCACCATCTCGGGTTTTATAAGTTCTGAAAGGGCATTTGTTTCCATTATGGAGTTAGACAAACCAATACTGACCTCTCTTAAACTATCCTACCAATCCTGGTTGGAAAAAAAAATGAAGTGACCAAAACAGCTGTAAAATGTTGCGAAACCATTGGAAAAGTGGGATGAATAAATCAAGGAAAATTTATCAAAATACACATAACTTTTCAAAATTACCCTTTTCAACTATTCAAACTCAAGGATAAGTGTGTTTTGATGGGCATTTTAAACTTAATAAAAAGCAATCGGTTAAATGCTGAATAGTTGATATCTTATGTTTATTTTGATCAATTTCCCTAAAATCAATAATGCAAGAATATCATGGTTTGCATAACATGGAAGGTGAATTATTAAAAGTTTTGATGAACTTACAAACATAGAAAATTTAATTACAGATTACAAGTAGGAATCTTGAGATTTTTACTTTGGAATATTATTGATGTGAAATGGTTTGCAGTGACATTTAGGATGGTTTTGCCTGAAAATAATTCAATATTTTAAGAAGTATTCTAACAAAATAACAACATCCATTAGGAATCTTGAGATTTTTACAATGTAATTTTATTGATGCAAAATGGTTTGCGGTGAAATTTAGGATGATTGTGCCCGAAAATAACTCAATATTTTAAGCAATATTCTAACAAAATATTTAAAATAGTTTGTGCAGTTCTTAGAATAATCACTGATACTATGTCCTTGAAAAAGAACTTACTCTCCAAAATTTACCTCAACATTTCAAAGCAATCCAAAATTTACCTCAACATTTCAAAGCAAGGGAAAGTAAGACTTTATGAGAGGTTGTTGCCCCCTGCATTGTCAAAATTCAAAACCAAACCCCACTCATTGAATCTGATGAGGAGGGATTGCCTCGTGAATCCTTCCAATTCTAAAAACAAAGCATATGAAGACTAGTTAAACATGGTTTGATACCATATATATCTTATTTGCATCCCCAATTTATGGATCTTGTTAGTTTCAAAGAATGACTAAAAAACCATTTGCAAAAAGCAACTATTTCTTCATAAGCTTTAGCCAAAAACCACTATGACATATGTTGACCATTTAATGTTGAGGCATGGGACAAGTTTGTCATTTTAGAGCTGTTTTGTCATTTGTACCTAATAAATGAAGACTTGATATGATCAGGATCCGTAACAACTATTTCTACCAAAACAAAAAAAAAGAAAGATCAAGATCCATAACAACTTTAATAGGTTCATAACCAGAAGATTAGACCAGCCACTCCATGATGCTCCTTGCACCCTATCCGAAAGGTATTTTTGAGCCCTCAGTAGTGAATGCGCATCAACGATTCAAAAAATTGACATGGTCAAAATATCAGTCTAATTAAGAAAGGAATGTGCAACAAACAAGCTGTAGATAACAACTACATAGAAGCAACTATTCTCATGCCTTACTACCTACATATCCCAAGCCTACCAATCAACTTCGTAGCCCAAGGAAGGTGAAACAACCTCTGCTATTTACCACCCTATACCTCTCTGCATTTCATAATGCATCTATGCAACTTAACACAACAAGCTTCTGCTTTGATCTATACTTGAAACATGTACTGCCCATAATCAAGTAGGAACGCATAGAATCCATAGTTCATGAAATGAATGCTAATGAACCGCATAGATTCTGTCTGCAAATGTGCTTCGCAAGAAATTGTAAATATATATGGATAATGCTAGTGCAGGGCTGCAAACCTGACAAAATGTTTCGTGTCTCTTTCGAAAAATGACCAACAGTACACTCACTGCTTGGCTATAGTGTCATTTCAAGTCCAAATAGATGAAAAATGAAAGTAATTCACAAGAATGTCTAGATGAGACGTCTTTCAGAGCCAATCAACCCTTGATCATGGAGAATGTCAGGCAATCGAGGCATGAGAAATATGCTATAGATTATATTGCAACAAGAGAACCAATCAACAATTGTAAATAGAAGAAAATGGAAGGAAAAAGTATGCTCAGGTATTCCCAACAAAACCTTGATGATTAGTTATTGCACGTGTAGAATGGGAAACATGTGAAAGCCATACATATTAGATGATATAATTCATTTATGAATTTATGTCAGTTAAAGAAAAATAGTAAGTGGAAAACATGTTGTGGTTACCAACAACAATGGAACCATCAAGCTTTCACATTTATCAAAAGTACAAACAAAAATAGTACGAAAAGGATAGAACATAAACAAGGAAACCATACATCTCTTTGTATATTCCACTGGTTGTAATTTTGACCTCAATGTTTTTTTTTTTAACACTTAAAAATAAAAAGAATAAAAAAAAAGAACAAGGAGACCATGAATCCTACCTTTATAAACATTTTCATTCTTTCCAGTTATAGGGAGCACGATCAACAACTAAGTAATCTCCACGGATATCCTTTACAACTCGAATATCATCATCCAAATAAATGGATTCAAACCTGCATAGATGGAATTGCAGGTCAAGCAACTAAAGGCTTATTCATTACAGCAAAAGAAAATGAGCATTCCAATCTGTTATGGCTTCAACAAACAGTAAAATTAGAGAAAACATCATTAAAAAAAGTGGCGATAGTGCATCCATCAGCCCCTAAAATCTAAGACTGGTGCGGACAAAAAGGAAAATAAATAATGGCGGCATTTAGAGAGTGTGATGAAGATCATGAAATGCTGTCATAATGAGTGATTTGGTAGCACAAGAAGATCCATAAGTTAGGATAATGTGTAGTTATAGGAAACTTTAAAAGTAGAATGGAAGCATATAAGATTGCTTAGGTGAACCTTGTTTAACTTGGCCTAGTAATGGAAGTAGAGAAAAACACTAGGGAAAGAACAGAGGAAACAAGTTCTGAACAGGAATCACCCACTCTTGGGAGGAAATGCCAGCCTCAAAGGACGCATAGCTTTTATGCAACAGTTTCACAGATATGGATTCTACCGTTTGAAGAGAGAATTAAATTTTAACAACATTGCAACGAACATGAAATTGCAATGCTGTAATTTAAATAAGGCAAGGCAATGAGTTAAAGTTCAGTAAAGGATAGCCCTTGTGTTTTGATAAATCAATTCAAGGCTATATCAATTTTTCTGCCCATAAAAAGTTGCAGCTGAGACTAGAAAAGCAGACCTTGTGGCATATTTCTCAAAAAAACAAAGAGAGAGCGAGAAGGAGAGAGAGAGAGAGAGAGGATTTCTCACCACCCTTGTCCAAAAGGTGGCAAAGGGAATTCCCAATTAGCACCTCGCAGAACTGCACCCGTAAATCTGCAACCAGTTCGAACAATCAAATGATGAGAAACAGATAGAAGAAAAATCGAAATTGGCAACTGAAAGGTTTCCATCTTCCCCCACAGCTTACCAGAACAAATCGGCATTCTATGAAATTCAATCGAACTTAAAAAAATCAACAAATTACTAAATTGACACCCAATCAAACAATAACAATTAAAAGACTTCCGGCTTAACTGTAAATTACGAAGACCCACACACAAAAACAACGAAAAAATAGTCTTTAAATACTCCAACAAAGACTATAACCAAAAGCATTGCCTAAGTTCAATTAAAAGAGAAATTTTGCTTTCATAGCATAAAAGCAGTACCCGAAAACAGAAATACAGAGCTAGGGAGTGTTTTAGAGAGAGAGAGCGGAAGTGTATGAGAAAGAGAGAGAAAGAGCATGGAAGACAAGTAATTTCATCTTAATTTCAATCTATGAGCATAAAAAACATCAATATGATTGTAAACCTATTCAAAAACAGAAACAAAAACAAAAAACGTCAATATGAAATTGGGTCATAAAGCAACTCATACCAATACAAACAAATACACAAAAAACTAGAGAGAAATTATTAAACAAAAAAACAAAAAACTAGATAGGGCATTTGAGAGAGAGAGAGAGAGAGAGACCCATATAAGATAAAAGATTTCATACCTGAAATTCACTCTCTGAGGAGAAGCAACCTTGAGATCCGACCTTACAAAGAACACCCCAGAAGGTGGAAATGTAATGACATTGTTGAGAAATGAATTCTCCAAATCTATCACTTGCAACACATCTCCAGCCTTTGTTCCAAAGAGATAAGCATAGCGTATAATGAACAATTGCTCTTTCTCTGTAGTCCACAGCATGCGCCATGTATCAGAGAGAGAATCATTTGTGGTAACCATGTTTCGTCCATGAAAACCCAATGCTTCAATTGCTCTGATGATTTCTGATCTCTTTGAAACATTTCCCTCTGTTTTGATTCCTCTCTCTTGGTCTGAGATTAATCCCAGTAAATCACATTTTGCTAGTGAGATTTCGTTGCTGGAAGTGGATGAGGAGAATTGAATGGGTTTTCTGATGTGGGGTTTTAGAGAGAGAGGTTTTCTGGAAGTTGGGAATATGGGTGGTTGGGTGAGGAGAGAGAAAGTGGGGGAAGCATAGTGGAGCTGCACCGAACCCATCTAGAGAGAGAGTGGGCGTTTGAAACTTAGAGAGAGAGGGGGGAGCGGCAATGGATATATAACGTAGATAAGAGATGAGGAAACTGTCGTGCCTGCCTGAAGCGTGTATACTGGATAGTGTGATTCTGCAGGAGCATTGTTCTTTTACTCGAGTAAAAATTGCAAATATTTAAGGACCAATAGCATAATCCAACGGATCATACAAATTTCGGCCCTTATAGTGTTGTCACCGTCTATAAAATAAATGGATGGTGATAGAGAAAAGGACCCGGTTTCTATGCACCCTAGCCCGTATATGCAAAATGCCGGCCTATTAATTAATAAAACTATTTTGTAGATGGATTTTTGGATTTAATTTTGAAAAACATGTAATCTAATATGGAGATCATGAATATGAAAAAAATGAATAAATTTTAAAAAACCATAAATAATAGTTTTAATAACAAAACATTTGGACAGTTCCATTGTTTTTAGATAGAGCACCAACTTGCATCCGTTTTTTAAATTCATGCTTTACGCTTTCCGAATCGCATATCTAAAAATACGGGTTGGACCCACATGCAACAATTTTCCTAGAAAAAATTATGTGGGACCCTCGAAATGGCATTGACCACGATCGTGTGGCGACCCCTCTCCGTTACCATCCTCTATAGCATGATCCCCTGGGATTGCACTGTACATAAACTCCCTCGGGCAAAAGAGATATTTTTTGGTTTTCTTTATAATTAAATGTTTGGATCTAACTAAGAAGTATCATATGACTATCTTCAAATGTAAAACTAAATTTCAAGTTCTTCAACTGTTACATCTTTCCCTCCAAAACTGGATGTTCCTTGTTCGACCTGGGAACATTATTTTTCTTAGGCACGTTGCATTTCTTTTTTCTTTTTTTTGCTCTTTTCTTCTGCCTCCTCTTCTTTTTCTTCTTTTTTTTTTCTCTTTTTCTTTTTTTCTCCTCTTTCCTTCCTTCTTTCTTTCTTTCTTTTCTTTTCTTTTCTTTTTTTTTAATTTTATTTTATTTTATTTTTGACTCAAGAGGTTACGTCCCCAAAATCTTGGGTCCTAAAATTACCTTATCTTCAGATTTATTAGAGGGAACAAGTAGATAGTGTGATCCTCTCTTTAGCTCCATAAAATTGATGTACGTGTAATGGCTTTAAGAGCCTCTCATATCTATGACCCCATTAATTGAGGGAAAGGTTTCTACGCTTACCTTACTATATGGAAGATATATACTCCCCTCAATGAGCGGTCCAATTTTGATCTAACCATTTTATTTAGATCCGAGACTTCTAAGTATTTTATTTTTTATTTTTAACAATTATATGAATATAAAAAGTGGTACATGCCACAATTTCAATGAGGTGCATCTAAAATAAATATTAAAAGTATTTTCGGTAAAATATAATCATCAAAATACCTCTAAAACTTTTTGAGGTATTTTGCTCAATTTTTTATTGATAATATTGTTTTGAGCAATGATTTCATGCAACAGTTGCATCATACTATAATGCAACGACATTTCTAAAAAATCATGTTTATGTTATTTATATGACCCAAAATTTGGCACACATACTCTCTTCATCTCAATTATCAATCCAAAAAAACGAATAGAGACCATTCATTTGGTGAATTTCAAGATCTTAGCTTTTATAAACTCACAGTCGTTTTTTCCTTTTTTAACATTGTTCATCTAATGATAATAAAGTCATCCAAAAAGATTGCAAAATGAAAAAATCCTTCTAAGGCCTAGATCTAAGCATCTCACCAAAATGAACGGCCTATATTAATTGAGCTAAACAAATACTTTCTAGGTTGTGTTTTCATTTTTTTTCTTTTCTTTGATTGTTCATTAGAATGAAAAGAATGTATATTTCAAATTTTGGATCAAACAAATGGCCATAACATGGTTTTTGAAGGTCGTTGCATTATATTATGATGCAACCATTGCATGAAATCATTGCTCGTTTGTTTTTATATGTTTTACAGGTTCAAGTTTAAGAGAGGAGTGGACACCCAAAAAATTGATGTTAAAATGTTTTGTAGAAAAAACATTAAAATTATAATAGTGTAGAAGCGTGACATTGTGATTAAGGTCATCTCAATCATCCATTTAGAATGGCGGTTGGATAGTAGGAAGTATATTTTATACATGGGTACAGTTTGTATAGAGCTGGGGCTCTAAACAATCAAAGTAAAGCGCACCTCCAAATAGTATCGAGAAATGTGGTTTCAATGTTGGAAATCTTTGTGATAGTCTTAAAATATATGTTTATCTCTAATTATAAATTTAAAGCTAGTTTAAGATCAAGCAGATCTATGAACACTTGAAAATCTTAAAAATTGACGGCCAAAAGATGCATTACAAGATCCACTATTTCCAAAACTTAAAATCCATTTGTTTTCTCATGTCTATGCATCTTGATGTCGAGATGATTAATTTGAGGATATTTGGGCATCAAAACAACCTCTTCCAATTAAATTTTTGAGGTCGGCTCTAATTTGATTGTTTACGCTCTATATAAACTTTTTCCTTTATACATTTGGGGAAGTATAAAAAGTTTGCCCACTAGTTTATGGATAATTTGATTATCATTTGCACCTTGATTTGCTTTATCAAAGGAAAGGACTTTACGTCATCTTTCGCATGTGCCCTTAGCCATTTGATGTCAATAACGGATGGTTCATCTGTGATGCCCTCTTATGAAAGTCTCACATTTTGATGAGGATGTGCTGCTTAAGTACCAAAGTCAAAACTAAAATACTAGCATGGCATATAAACGTTATACTTTTTTGCCGTGTTTTAGAAATCGGATTGGTGGGATGAACTACTCACCAACTAGTTTATGTCGTCTCATCAATTCACTGAGATAAATTTTTGGAAATAGAAAAAGAACAAGAGATAACTGGTGGGAACTAGTGAAGATCATGGAGAATCTAGGGATCATAGAGCTTGACATGTACCTTAGTTTCATGTGGACTCACTATTTTTTAAACATTGTTTCTACCATTTTCACACATGTGCATGATATTCCACCTTGGACCCTTGTACTCAATGACCCTATGCTTCATCAGTCTCTCTCTAGGTACGTCACAGACAAGAGACAAGGAAACAAGGAAGCAAAAAGGTTATATAAGGTGTCAACCTTATATTGTACAAGTAATATGCACCTAAAGAATCTACCCTAAAAGGTTGTTTTGAAGTTGAAAAACTCTAATATTGATCATCTCAACCTCAAGCTATATAACTATGAAAAAAAAAATGAAAATCTTTAAAATAATGTGTCTCGTGACACATTATCTAGACTATCTATTTTTTTTTTATTTTTAGTATCTATAGATCTGCATAAGCTACATCATTTATCGAGCTTGAAATTTTATAATGTGGTATGAAAATAGACCTTTAGGCAATCGTGTTTCTAACACCGAAAAACTGCATATTTTACTAAGATTTAAAAGTATGTTTTACTTTGATTGTAAAAAGTTGACACCATACTACAAGATAGAAGTACATTTTAATTTGATTGTTTAAAGTTGACACCATATATAAACTACACCCAATAAGAAATGGTGGTTGTCTGGCACTTTAAAAAGTTGTTATTATTTCATATCTAGTTTTCTTCAAATTGCCTAACTTTGATGTGAACCCTAAATTATATTTCTTTGGGACATATTTTATATTTTTGAGTTTCATGTGAACCCTAAGCATAGAACAATCTTTCACTGCGATTAGGGTAAGAAGTGAGAAATTGGTTTCAAGCCAATATTTCATAGATAGAAGCTCATTCTGTTTGGATTGTTTGAGAACTTAAAAGTTAAGTGTTTCTCAACGTCATCAGAGGCTACAATGGTTAATCATTTCTAAATATTTCATTCTATATTTCTAAGGACATATGCTGGCCACCTCTTTTTCCCTTTTTACAAGCCATAAATATTGAGATCACATACTATTGGCTATAAGTTTGGGTTAACAAAAAGGACAAATTAGTGAGTGTCATTAAACCATGGAGGTTTATGGGGACTTCGCCCTCTTTGAGGGTATGACCCTTAATATAGAAAAATAGCGGACCAGAATACACGTAGTTAGTCTCAATTAGTGGGAAAATGCATTTTATTGTTTAGGCAAAGTGTTTTATGAGTGGCACAGGTGCATGAGGGCCAACCATCTGTACCGTCCAGTTTAGTTGGATAATGAAAATTGCACCTTTTCTCCATTTATGGATGCAATCTCTATTGTCCAACTCAGATGGATGGTGTGAGATACGGGGATTGCAGGCAAGCTCACATGATATAACCTCTCTCTAATATAGCCTCCCTCTATTTTATCATAATCTATGAATATTTGTAGGATTTGAAGCTCCTATAGTAGTGCATTTTGCAAAACATTTTATGATCTGTCCATTTCAAATGTTCATAAGAATGCTTGATCTACATAGTTTTTGGGCTTCAAATTCTACAGGTAAAGGTGACAATAGATTTATAGGCTATCATAAGATCTTATATGAGAAAATATATCAACCAAGGTAGAGTCAAAAGAACGACTTCGGAGGGCCGTTAAAAGCTCGAAGGGCTTGAGGCTCGAAGGACCGTCCGGCCAGGTGGACTCAGTTGACTCGGCCCCTGCGGGGGTTGGGAGGCGATAGCCCCCAAAGAAAATTTCGGATACCCGTACATGGGATTCGATATATGTGAGATTCGATATATATCTATATATAGGGTATTTCGGTAATTTGTACCATCTATCTGAAACTCGATATATTGTTGCGATGAAGGGTTTTTTAGGGTTAAGGGGAAAAACGCATATCTATTTTGTAATCAGATATAACAGAGAGGCGTGAGGAAGAGAGCTATTGTAACCCTATTCTCTATCATCAGTAAAGAAGCTCTGATATCCCGTGGATGTAGGTATGTTGCCGAACTACGTATATCTTTGTGTTGTGGTTGGTTGTCTATTTCTTTTGTGTTTATTTCTTCTTTCTAGTTTTTACTGTTTTTCATTTTTACAAATTAGTATCAGAGCCTACCAGGTTATTCCGCGTTCTGG